AACGACGTGATAAGGCGCTATATCAAATGCAAGGATTATTATTATTATTTTTATATCCCTCCGAGTCCACCAAAGAGACATTTAACCATATGAAAGGCGTTTTTTTTCCAGAATCTTTTTTTTTAACCTCACCTCAGTGGCTGCTAAATCCACTTGCGAGATTGTGGTGCAAGATTTGCGGTATTCCTTAAAGCGTTCCTCACCTTGAACACTTCAAGGAACGTTCAAGGAACCGTTCTACCCCATGCACCTCTCCCAGGTGATAACGCGACCCGCCATTGAGTCATGGAAACAAAAAGCAGAACCGAAGAAAAATTAGCTGGGATTTGCACTGACTGTCACCATGGTAACTCTTGCTGGGAGAGCATAAGTTATCTAACAAAGTGGGATAAGTGGGAGAGCGAGACAAAGTTCCATCTCACTGTCGTGAGCATCCATTTACTCTGCTGAGTGCTTGATCTCAGCTCTGCGCTGGGGGAAGGGCATGGGTAATTGGCTGGGAGGCTTTGCAGAGCCTGATGACTGGTGGACACCAATGTTGGCGTTTCCATATTGTTTCATTTATTTATTACAGCCGAGAGCAGTCAGGAGATTAACACGCCACGCACTTCAATTATTTATATTGAATCACACTGTTGACTACAGTTGACAACTGAGGGAAAATGCAAGCCAGAGATGGTGGTAACTTAATCGTGTGTCATCTTTATCACAACCACAAAATTACATAGCGTCTTTCACGTCGGGAGGACATCCCAAGGTGTTGGCCAATTAGTGTTTCGGACCTGAGCTGGGGATTGGGATCGGGGAGGGTGGGGGGCAGGGAGGGAAGGAGGGTGACTGAAGGCACAGTCGAAGAGGAGGGCCTTGAGACGGGTCTTGAAGGAGGCAGGGAAGGGGGTGAGGCGGAGGGAATGCGAGATGCAGTACTAGAGGGTAGGGGTAGAGCAGCAGAGGCAGTGACAGACCATGAGATATTCGGTCAACGAGCCTATTTATTTATCCACTTATTACTCCATTCACTTCAGCCACAGTTCGCAGTGACGGATTTATTCTGGGACATCCAGTTCGGGAGTTTTGCTCTCCCCCCCACCACCACACCCCCCCCCCACCCCCAGCCCAGATAAAACTGGTTGTTCACTTCACGGCTGTTTGTGGGTATGTTGCTGTGCACAAATTGGCTGTTGCGTTCGCCCACAAAACACACAAACGTATCCCGAGAAGTACTTTGGGACTTCCTCTTGACATGAATGAAGCTGGATCAAATGCTAAGGATTGTTGTTGTTATTGTAGAAGGAACGTTCCTGCAATTTGCTGCAGCAAGAGAGGAACTAAACTAAGAGCAGTGGTGACAGAGCAAGGGTAAGTAAAGCTATGTGTTCTGAGTGTTGGGAAGAAACCACATGTCTTGGGATAAGGGATGGAGCCCAAGGAAACCATGGAAGGGGTGATAATAATCCTTGCGGAGTCCTGTAGCTCAGTGGTTAGAGCACTCGCTTTGTAAGTGAGAGACCTGAGTTCAATTCCAGGCAGAGGGCGAAACCTTGGGCAAGTTTCCTTACTCCACACAGAGCCTAATAATAATCCCTCCAAAAAACAACAATAATAAATCGGTCATTTTCAATCCACGACTGTTTGTGGGACATTGCTGTGCGCAATTGGCTGCCGCGTTCGCCCACAAATACACAGTCAATTCACTTTACAATGTGTTCTGTGAAGCGCTTTGGGACGTCCTCCCGACGTGAAAAGCGCTATATCAAATGCAAGGATTATTATTATTATTATTATTATCCTTGCATTTTATATGGAACCTTATCACGTCGTTGAGATGTCTCGAAGCGATTCACAGAAGATATTGTAAAGTGGATTGACTGTATATTTTTGTGGGTGAAACGCAGCAGCCAATTGCACACAGCAGTGTCCAGCAAACAGCCATGGATTGGGTGACCAAATCATTCTTATTATTTATTTATTTTTGGGGAGTGATTATTACTCCCGGAGAGTAATCTGCCAATCGATTAACAGCCAGGTTCCTACTTACTGCTATGTAACCAGAGTGTGTGGTGTGGAGTAAGGAAACTTGTTTAAGGTTACACCCTGCCCAATCAATATATAAATTTGATTCTTATTGTGCATCTGTTTATGTCCTGTTACCAGGAGGCCCTTTGTTTGTGTGTGTGCAGAGAAGCTGATTTGGACTTCGTATTAATGTTTCATTACTTACCTCTGGAAAATGCTAACAACTTTCCAAGGTTCACATTGTCATCAACTGGAACCTTGAGGCTTTTGTTGTCCTCTGAACAGTGAACAGTACAGAACTCACTCCTCCCAGATTCTCTCAGCGCAATAAAATCAATCCCCCGTCATATCATGTCTTTGATTCATCTCAAATCACTTCACAGAATTTACTGTAAAGTGAATTAACTGTATATTTTGTATACTGCCTCACCCCTCAACAACAACAACAACAACAAGATTCCATTTATTGAGCGCCTTTCACGTCGGGAGGACGTCCCAAGGCGCTGTACAGTTGGGTCAGGACCCGAGCGTTGGGGGGAAATGGTCAGGGTGAGGGGAGGGAAGGGAGGGAGCGAGGAGCGGGTAGAGAGTCGAGAGTGGAGCTGAAGGCTGAAGGTCAAAGAGAAAGGTCTCGAGACCGGCCTTGAAGGAGGAAAGGGAGGAAGCGGCGAAGGCACTGGGGGATAGAGTTCCAGAGCCTCGGGGCTGAGAGGCTGAAGGCCCGGCCACCGATAGTAGGGCAGTTGGGGCGGGGGATGTGGAGCAGACCGGAGCCAGAGGAACGGAGGGTACGGGCGGGTAGGTAGGGGATAGTAGGTCGGAGAGGTAGGAGGGAGCGAGGCCGTGAATGGCCTTGTAGATGAGGATGAGGATCTTGAATTCGATCCTCTGGGGGATGGGGAGCCAGTGGAGGCGAGCGAGGGTGGGAGTGATGTGGTCGCGGTGTCTGGTGCGGGACAGTACACGAGCTGCAGAGTTCTGAATGACCTGCAGTGTGGAGGGAGGTGGCGGGAAGGCCGGTGAGGAGAGAGTTCCCATAGTCCAGCCTTGAGGTGATGAAGGCGTGGACCAGAGTTTCAGCAGCGTGAGGGGTGAGGTAGTGCCGTAGTCTGGCGACATTCCGGAGGTGATGGAAGGCGGTGCCAGTTGTGGCCGGATATGGGGGAGAAAGGACAGCTCAGGGTCGAACAGAAGCCCAAGGTTCCTGAGTGGCTTTGAGAGGTGGAGAGTGCGGCCTTGGATGCTGATGCTGTCAGCGCCTGAGGTGCGGAGGCGCTGACGTGAGCCAATCAGGAGGGCCTCAGTTTTGCGCACGTTGAGCTGAAGAAAGTTATCTCTCGTCCAGGACTCGATGTCGGACAGGCAGCTGTCAGGACATCGGTGGTCGTGGAGTTGAGGGTAGAGGAGGAAAGGTAGAGTTGGGTGTCATCCGCATACATGTGGAAGTTAACCCCATGTCTACGGATGATGTCACCACAGGGGGAGCATATAGAGGGTGAAGAGGAGGGGACCGAAACCCTCACCCACGCATTCGTCACATCAAGGCTCGATTATGGAAATTCCCTCCTCATCGGCCTTCCCAACTCTTCCCTTCACAAGCTGTAGATCATCCCAAACTTTGCAGCTCGTGTACTCTCACTCACCAGGCTCTGTGACCCCATCACTCCCACCCTCGCCCGACCTCATCACTCCCACACCCTCGCCCGACTCCACTGGCTCCCCATCCCTCAGAGGATCGAATTCAAGATCCTCATCCTCACTTTCAAGGCCATCCATGTCTTGCCGCCTCCTACCTCTTTGACCTGCTGACTCCCTACCAACCTGCCCGCTCCTTCCGTTCAGCGGGCTCTGGTCTACTCCATGTCTTCTGCCCGACTCACCCTACCATCAGTGGCCAAGCTTTTAGCTTCTCTACCCCCACACTCTAGAACTCCATCCCACAGTCCCTTCGCCTCGCTTCCTCCCTTGTCTCCTTCAAGGCCGGTCTCAAGATCCTCATCTTCGATCGTGCCTTTGGTCGCCCTCCCACCTCTCTGCCTTCCCTTATCCCTACCCCACCCTTGCCCCATGCTTGGGTCCTGACCCCTGACAGTCCAGCGCCTTGGGACGTCCTCCTGACTTGAAAGGCGCTCTATAAATGTAATTTTGTCGTCATTGTTGTTGTGAAACTGGCAGCCAATTGCGCACATCAGTGTCCCACAAACAGTCATGGATTAGTGACCAAATTATGATTTATTTATTTATCTATTTATTTATTTTTTGAAGGGATTACTACCCCCACAAAGCGATTCCCCCAATCGACTAACATCTGGGTTCCTACATACTGCTGGATAAACAGAGGCACGTGTGTGTGGAGCAAGGAAACTTGCCCAAGGTTTCACCCTGCTTGGGAATCGAACCTGGATTCTCTCGCTTGCGAGACGAGTGCTCTAACCAATACAGTAAGGGACTCCACAGATAATGAAAGAGATCCCCAGTGACTGAATCTTGGCTTCGGCTAATATAGTGCAGATTTTAGGATAAAGAATCCTCACATTTTGATAGAGTGCCTTTGAGATGTCTCTAAACCACTTCACAGGATTTTACTGTGTTGTGACTGCGTTTGTATGGAAAAGCGGCAGCCAACTTGCCCATAGCAACGTTCCACAAACATCCCACAAACAGCAATGAAGTGAATGACCAGTTTTATTTAGGGAGGGAGGATTGTTCTTTATAATACGGCAATACAGTTCTTGTATTGTTGACCATCGATTTGATCTTGCTCTGGAGGTCAATGTGTCTGACGTCCTCCTGACGTGAAAGTCGCTCTACAAATGTAATTTGTTGTTGTCGTTGTGTCTGCCCGGTTCTTTGGTAAAGGCTGTACTGAATCGAAGTGAGACCTTTCAACTCTGTTGCCTCGTAAAGTTGATTAATGATCAACCTCCTGATGTGGGTGTTGTTACTCTGTCAAGTCTTGCGGAAGCAACTTTGGAATCACAAGGTGTTTAGCAGTCAGCTGTCTCACACACTGCGCTTTCGCTGAGAGTGTGGGTCGTCAAAAGGGTTTGTAACAAGACGGTGGGTGAAGGGAACTGAGGACCTAAAAAGAGGTATCAAGCCATGAGCTTTCTTATTCAATGTAGACGTCAACCTTAGAAATTAACCTTAGACCTGAAGATCTCTCTACTCTGATAGTCAGCAGTTTTCAGGTAGGTCTTTTCTTTCTGATCTATGGATCTTTTTCAGTCAAGCTGTACAGTTCCCAAAGTCTCAAATACAAGGATTTCGAAAGTCTTCCCTTCTCCCCCCCTTCTTCCCCCTGAGCTCCAGGTCCACTCTCTTTATGTTGCATTGAGAGTTTGGGATTGGTGCCTCGGTCCCAACAAAACTTAAGAGGGAAAAAAATGGTTTCAGTATTAAGGCTCGGGTTTAAAAGATCTCGCCAAATTCTGGCGGTTCTTGAAACACGACATAAATGGAGTAAAACTAGACCCGGATGAGAATTTCTCCCCAGAGAATTCTTTGTAAAGTTTTTTTTGTGTGTGTGTGCGTGAAGAAATTAAGTATTTTGTATAAAGGCCTGCGGTTGTTTGTTACTGCAACGATTAGTCTTTGAAAGGTGGTGACTTGCAGATGGACGCTGAAAGGGTTTGACTGAAGGCAGCTACGGTGACGTTAACTCATTCTTTCTCATCGCCGTGTGTTTTCGAATGACTTTCCTTGTCACTGCAAAGGGCGTTGATGTCTGGGGAAATAACCGTATAATTTCTGTTGGGTTTGGAGATCGAAGGCGTTCCCTTTCATTTTGCCGTTTACCTCTGTACCGATCAATATTTCCCGACGGCAATCAGTTTGGTAAAGTGTTTCTCGCTGAGTACAACAGCAACAAATTCAATATGCCAGGCGCCCAAACTCCACCCCACTGCCAATCTGTGAGCAACTTTTATCTTCAAAATTTTAAACACAGCCCTTAAGAAATTTGTCGTTCACTGACATTTTGTTGATCGCAAATTTACTCCATTGGTTAGTGACCGACCGTCAACAGCGGGGCTATTTGTTCCTAGGAGGTTTTTGTTGATGAATAATAATAATAATAAGGGGTTAATGGGCACAGTGAGGTTATGACAGTTTTTCCATGGATATTATCTAGCTGTGAGTTAGTACTCTGACCGATTGACCATATAACCTTATCTGTGGAAGGTGTTCTAAGCCTTCCTTATGTATCTCTGAAGGAAGTTGAGAAATGAAGGGCTTCAGAGTGTGATTTTCTCACAAGTCATCATAAAATCATAGAATCTTACAGCACAGAAGGAGGCCATTTGGCCCATCATGCCGGTGTCAGTTCTTTGAAAGAGCTACCGACCAGTCCCATAGCCCTGCAATTTTTTTTCCTTTTCAAGCACCTATCCAATTCCCTTTTGAAGGCTATTATTCAATCCGCTTCCACCGCCATTTCAGGCAGTGAGTGCATTCCAGATCGTAAGCCATGACCCCCTCTGGCTTCCCTCACCTCTGTAACATCGCCCGACTCTGCCACTATCTCACCCTCAGGCCGCTGAAACTCTTGTTCATGCCTTCATCACCTCCAGGCTCGACTATGCAAACGCTCTGCTTGTCGGCCTTCCCAACTCCTCCCTCCACAGGCTGCAGATAATCCAGAACTCTGCAGCCCGTGTCCTCTCCTGCACCAAACTCCGTGACCCCATCTCCCCACTCTCGCCCGACTCCATTGGCTCCCTATCCTTCAGAGGATCCAGTTCAAGATCCTGGTCCTCACATACAAAGCCCTCCATGGCCTCGCTCCACCCTACCTCTGCGACCTCCTAACCCCCTACCAACCTGCCCGCTCACTCCGCTCAGCCGGCTCGTCCCCCAGTCACTCCACCTCGCTCCCTCCTTAGCCTCCTTCAAGTCCCGCCTCAAGACCCTCCTCTTCGACCAAGCCATCGGCCAAACCCCTTCCCCTCCCCTCCCTTACCCCTCCAACCCCAGCTCAGGTCTGAAATGCTGTACTCTGTCCAGCACCTTGGGACGTGAAAGGCGCTATACAAGTGTAATCTTGTTGTTGTAACAAGTCTCTGCGTCAAACAAAAATCTCGTCTCTTGTTGATATTTACAAATAATTGTCGTACTTCGACATCCCGAATCCAAATTTAGGACCAAACTAAATTTGATGAGGAGAATATAATTTATCTCTCTGTTTGTGTTATTAACTACCTAATATTTTGATTCCCTCCACCAGGAAATGTCTCCACAGAAAGCAGTGTGGACTCTGTTCCTCATGACCTGCCTCTTTCCCAAAGGTACGGCTTCCAGCGAAGTTATCACATCAGTTAAAGACCAGTTCTATTTTTCTTAAATTTTTCCTGCTAATAAAATAATAAGAAGAACAATAATAATCCTTGCATTTGAGATAGCGCCATATCACATCGTTAAGACATCTCAGAGCGCTTCACAGGTATATTGTAAAAAATTGACTGCGTAGTTTGTGGGCAATTGCGCAGGCAATTGCGCATAAACAGTGGTGAATTGAGTGATTAAATTATTTTCTCTTGAGTGGATTATTACCCCCGTAAAGCGATCCGCCAATTGACTAACAACCGGGTTATTCCTTACTGCTAGGTAATCAGAGGCACGTGGCGTAAGGAAACTTGCCTCAGGTTTCGCCCTGACCGGGAATCGAAACCAGGCTCTCTCGCTTGCAAGGCGCGCGCGCTAACCACTATGCTACAGGACGCCAAAGTTGTTTTTAACCATCCTATTTCTGTTTATTTTAATTTCAGCCAATCCAGTACCCCAGTTTGATATGCCAAATAATCAGCTTCTCTGTGAAAGTTTAAAGAAGGGTGAGTCCATTTTTAAAACAATTGTAACAATACTAATAATCCTTGCATTTGATGCAGCAACTTTCATGTCGGGAGAATGTCTCGAGGATACACTGCTCTTCAGAGGATATACACTAAAGTGTAGTGACTATGTACACGTTCCATTCCAACAATCTATTGCTGAGATTTCCATGTGTAGGTGGGATGCATGGAATTCTCAGCTTGGTTTCGATACTCTTAAGCACGGTGATGGGTTTTGTGTATGTGTCACACACCCAGCTGCCCCCCCCCCACCCCCCCATAAAAATATATTTTTTTACCTAATATTATAAACCTGGTTAAACTGGGAGAGCATGACTGAAACACAGTAAGGGAGACCTTCACTTCATAGGGTGTGCTTTCAGCCACAACCCCAAAACTCTGGAAAACTCTTCCTCTATCCCTCTGCTTTGCCCCTTTCTTCCCCATCTACAGATTGTGCCTGAAGACCTTCCTCTTTGAACGGTCATCTCTTTCCAGCTCAGCGTCATGCTCGGCCACTGTCGTGAGGGTCGCTGTGTAAATGCAAGTTGTTGTTGTAGGGTACTTTTGTGTTTTAGTCATTTAAATTCAATATTTTTTGAAACTCAATTGACCAATAGTCAATGGTTGTGAGGCAGAGTGTTATTTATTGATTATAGATTAATAATGGTTTCGTTATTACTAGTTAGTTTTATTATTACTACAGGTGATGAAGCGTTTAAGATTTTAGCTCACGACACAAACGGTGGACCATTGACTTACTCCATGACCGGTGAGGGAGCGGCCTACTTCAGTGTGAACTCGAACAATGGAATCGTCACAATTGCAAACGAATTAGACCGAGAGGTAATTTAAGTCAAAGCCCTTTACAGGATAAAACGTAAAGTGTGGAGACTGCGTGTTTTCTGGGAAAAAAACATGGTAGCCAGTTGCGTAGAGCAATGTCCCACAAAGAGTGAGTGACCAATTTTATTTGGGGAGACTGTCGGCCAGGACACCGGGAGAGAGAAACTCGCTTCTCTTTCCAAATAGCGCTGTGGGATCTTTAATATCCACCTGAACAGGTTTTAACATCTCATCCGAAGGATGGCACTCTGCCCCCCAGGACTGTATTGGAACGTTGTCTTATACTATGTCATTCTAAGTCCGCATGTGGCTTGAACCCACAACCTTATGACTCAGAGGCAAGAGAGCATTACCACTGCGCCAGGCTGACACACTTGTGCCATGGTTACTTTCTGTTTTACTGCATCCTAAATCGAGTTCTTTTATAATTAATACCAGGTCAAAACTACAATCAGCCCAGTGCTTAAAATTGAAGATGTGGCCAATAATGTAGTCATGGTAAGTGTTGATCCTTTCTGGTGCCGCCCACCGAAAACACCGACAATAACCAAATCCGCACTAAAATGAGCCACGTTACAATGGGGAACTGCGCTGCGTTCCGTGTGTGCGAAATAACGTTTCTTCTTTCAGGTAACTCATCCAATCATTGTTGAGGACGCCAATGATAATGAGCCTATTTTTCTAAGCACCCCGTACACCATCTCTGTTCCTGAGGTGAGTCACTCGCAGCTATTTTTTAATTAAAAAGTTGGAGTAAGTGATGCCGTGAGTTTGCGCTTTCGGTGAGTGTTCTCTGATGCCTTTCAGAACTCCCCATTAAACAAGCCTGGACACCGTTCAGGAGTCCAGTAGCTGGGTGGTCAGCTCGCTCGCCTCGCAAGCGAGAGGACCCGGGTTCGATTCCGGGTGGGGTGAAACCTTAGGCAAGTTTCCTTACTCCACACACACTCCTCTGTTTACCTACTATCAGTAAGTAGGAACCCGGTTGGTAGTCGATTGGCAATTCACTTTCTGGGGTAATAATCCCTTCAAAATAAATAAATAATAATAATTTGGTTACTCAATCCATGACTGCTTGTGGGATGCCGCTGTGCACAATTGGCTGCCGTGTGTCACCCACAAAATATATAGTCACTCCACTTTACAGTATATTCTGTGAAGCGCTTTGAGACGTCCCAACAATGTGATAAGGAGCTATATCAAATGCAAGGATTCTTATCAATGTAACACATGCTTGGTGTTCAGCTCTCATGGGGACATAGGAACAGGAATAGGCCAATCAGCCACTCCAGTCATTCTATTAGATCATGACTGATCTAATATTATTATATTATATTATAATATTATTCTATTATTCAGATTCTATTAGATCATGACTGGCCCGTACCTCAACTGCATTTACCCATCTTTACTTCATATCCTTTGATACCCCAACCGAACAAATATCTATCAGCTCCTTCTAGAAAATTCGATTTAAAAATCTTGATTTTTCTCTTGATTTTCTGCATGGTTTGGCTGTTAATCTTGCACCTTTATGTCGGACAGAATACTATCAAAAACACCAATCTCCTTACAGTGGAAGCCAGCGATATGGATTCAGGACTGGCTGGGACAGTGGGGTACAATATTGTGAATGTGAGTACTTTCCTATTTTGCGGCAAATGTAAGAAATTACAATGATTCCAATCCGCACTACACACCCTGTGTGGCCTGTGAGGGAACCCAACTCTTACATCGTATAATCTACAAACGAGAAACTAGTATTGTACAACAACAAAATTACATTTGTATAGTGCCTTTCAGGTCGGGAGGGCATCCCAAGGTGCTGGACAGTCAGTGTTCTGAACTCGAGCTGGGGGTTGGGACTGGGGAGGGTGGAGGGCAGGGGGGGGGAAGCAGAGTGCTCGAAAGCACGGTCAAAGATTCGGATCTTGAGATGGCTCTTGAAGGAGGCAAGGGAGGGGCGAGGTGGAGGGACTGTGGGATGGAGTTCCAGAGGATGGGGCAGAGTGGCAGAAGGCCCGCCCGCCAATGGTGGGGTGGGCGAGGCGGGGGATGTGAAGCAGGCTGGAGCCCACTGAGCAGAGGGAGCAGGCAGGATGGTAGAGGGTTAGGAGATCGTTTCACCCACAAAATACGCAGTCAATTCACTTTACATTGTATTCTGTAAAGAGCTTTAAGATGTCTCAACAATGTGATAAGGAGCTACATCAAATGCAAAGTTTATTATTATTATTATTATTGCTGAAGCGTAGTCCTTACTTCTGGAATCCAGTGTGATTCGCAAATGAACCCATGTGGGTCCCAAAGTTATCATTATTATTAAGTTCAATTCTTTGTGGGAACCCAGTATGTTAGCAGCCTTATCTGTCCTGTTTTATGTGACTGTTCCTATTCATTGTATAAATGTGCCCATGCAGTATCCTCCAGTTTGCTGAATTAGCTCTTTGTTCCCTACCATCGGATAGATGTTGCCCAATGAAAGTAACTTGTTCAAAATTGACGGGAAAGGAAACATTATATTGATTGGCAGCCTGAGTTATGCAGATCAAAGCACGTTTTATCAGTTAAACATCTCAGCTATGGTAAGTAAGATCAATTAACTACCGTGGAAGATTTGTACTTGGGTTTGCTTGTGTGTCGCAGGTGATTTACTGCTGTGTTGGTTTGCAGGACTCAGGTGGAGGGTGTGAAAAACCCCAAATGAAACAGATATCAACCACGTTTGTGTTCATTAACGTAGAAGATGTGGCTGACACAGAGCCTTTGTTCCTCAATGTCCCATATCAAGCCGCGGTGCCTGAGAATTCACCTGTGGTAAGTCAACAGGGGTGCACACGTATAACACAGACACTGAAAGAGAGTTTAGGAGGAACTTCTTAACACAGAGGCTGGTGAGAATCTGGAACTCACTGCCAAAAGCCATGGTTGAAGCAGAAACCATGAATGCTTTCTGGAGTGCTGTGATGTCCAACCATTGTGACCTGCTAAAGCCATATCTACTCCTTCTGCACAGCCTGCTCCACATCTCCCACTGTTTGGGCCTTCAGTCTCTCTGGCCCTGCTCAGGTCCGTTGCCTTGGGATGTCCTCCCGACATGAAAGGTGCTATACAAACGTAAATTGTTGCTGTAGCGCATTTGTTGGAGCCCTTGCCTCACAAGCGAGAGGTCCTGGGTTCAACTCCTGGGTGGTTCGAAACGTTAGGCAAGTTTCCTTACTCCACACGCCTCTGTTTACAAGCGGTAAGTAGGAACCTGGTTGTTAGTCAATTGGCGGATCACTTTCCGGGGGTAATAATCGCATCAAAAATTAAATAATCATAATAATTTGGTTACTCACTCCACCACTGTTTGTGGGACACTGCTGTGCACAATTGGCTGCCGCGTTTTGCTCACAAAATATACAGTCAAATCACTTTACAGTATATTCTGTGAAACGCTTTGTGATGTTCGAAGACATGATAAGGCGCTGTATCAAATACGAGGATTATTATGATTATAGTGCATTGAAGAGGAACAGTCCCCATGGATTGGAAGATCGCAAATGTCACACCACTATTTAAAAAAGGTGGAAAGGAAAAGATGGGGAACTATAGGCCAGTTAGTCTCACATCAGTGATAGGAAAAATTTTAGAATCATTGATTAAAGATGTGGTAATGTAATATTTAGAGGAGCAAAATATAATTAGGTCAAGTCAACATGGCTTTACAAAAGGGAAGTCATTTGACGAATCTCATAGAATTTTTTGAGGATATTTCGTATAAACTAGATAAGCGTGAATCAGTGGATGTGGTCTATTTGGACTTCCAGAAGGCATTCGATAAGGTGCCACATAAAAGGTTAGTCCAAAAGATAGGGGCCCACGGAATTGGAGGGAGCATATTAACGTGGAATGGGGAATGGTTAACGGGTAGGAAACGAAGAGTAGGGATAAACGGCTCCTTTTCAGATTGGCGGGTTGTGACTTGTGGAGTGCCACAAGGATCAGTCCTTGGGCCTCAGCTATTTACCATCTACATCAACGATCTAGATGAGGACATCAAAGTTAATATATCTAAATTCGCGGATGACACAAAACTAGGAGGAAGTGTCAACACAGAGGATGACATTAAAAAAATGCAGCGCGACATAGATAGGTTAGGTGATTGGGCAGGTAGGTGGCAGATGAAGTATAATGTAGGGAAGTGCGAAGTCATCCACCTCGGTAGCAAAAACAGTAGAGCGGGTTATTTTTTAGAAGGGGAGAGATTGGAATGTGTTAGCGTCCAGAGGGACTTGGGTGTCCTTGTACACCAATCACAGAAAGTTAGTCTGCAGGTGCAGCAGCAATTAGGAAGGCGAATGGTATGTTAGCATTCATTATGAAAGGATTAGAGTATAAGAGTAGGGAAGTCTTGCTGCAACTGTATAGGGCCCTGGTGAGACCACACCTGGAATACTGTGTGCAGTTTTGGTCTCCTTATTTAAGGAAGGACGTACTTGCCTTGGAGGGGGTGTAGCGTAGATTTACTGGGTTAGTACCAGTGATGAAGGGGATGAGTTATGAGGATAGGCTGACCAATTTGGGCCTATATTCTCTAGAATATAGAAAAATTAGAGGGGATCTTATAGAAACCTATAAGATCATCAAAGGGCATGATAGAGTAGATAGTGGGAGATTGTTTCCCCTGGTTGGAGAAACTAAAACCAGGGATCACAACCTTAAAATCAGAGGCAGCCCTTTCGCACTGAGTTGAGGAAGAACTTCTTCACTCAAAGGGCGGTGAATGTATGGAACTCACTACCCCAAAGGGCTGTTGACACTCAGTCCTTGAACATATTCAAGACTGAGATAGATAGATTTCTTATTGCAAAAGGGATTAAAGGATATGGGGATAAGGCAGGGTTATGGTATTAGCTGGAGTGAGATTAGAAGATCAGCCATGATTGAATGGCAGGGCAGGCTCGAAGGGCCAAATGGCCTACTCCTGCTCCTATATGTTATGTTAAGAGGAAACTCGATACCCAACATGAGAGAGAAGGATATAGAGGAGCCTTTTATTGGAAAGATGAACAATCCCAGGTGTTATTTAGTGTGGATTAATACTTCCGTTTACCTTCATATTTGTAAACTTACTTACCTTTCTTCCTTTTCTCAGGGGACAACTGTATTTAAGGTGTTAGCCATTGATGGTGACCGAGGAATCAATGATGAGATTCAATACAGCATTCCTGGTAAGCTGCATGGAGATTCATTTGTTCCCTATCATTATACCTGTTTATACTCTATTCCAAGGATCAAATTTGCTGCCATGTTTACCTGCAAGGCAGCAGTTGCCAATAACTTTCACCCCAAAAATACATAGTCAATTCACTTTGCAGTATATTTTGTGCAGCTCTTTGAGATGTCTCAAAGACATGATAAGGCGCTGTATCAAACCAAGGATTATTACTGTTATTGTTATAATTATTTTAACTCAATGAGTAAAGAAAGTCACAGAATAGGAAGTGCAAACTGGCATCAAGTAACTCCACCTGCTGGTGATTTAACCCCTGTTAGTGGGATTGTCAATCAGGTGAGGCAGAAAGAAGAGCAGAAAGGATGGAATGAGAAAGAGAAAACTGCGTCCATCAATCCCACTCCATCCCATCATCCATCATACACCTTTCAAGGAACTTATCCATTTCCCAGACACCTGCTTTCCAATCTCTGAAAAGCCAACCACAGAACACTCCAATGTGTTGACACATCCTTCTTTATATGTGGACCTGCTAACCCCTTATCAACCTGTCCGTTTCCTCCACTCAGCAGGTTCTATGTCCCACGCCCGGCCCGCCCCAACATGGACGGGCGGCAATTCAGCCTCTCTGCCTCCACCATTTGGAACTCCATCCCACATTCCCTTTGCCTTGCTCCCTCCCTTGCTTCCTTCAAGGCAGGTCTCAAGACCCTCCTTCTCGACTGTGCCTTTGTCACCTCAAGGCTTGATTACGGGAACTCCCTCCTCATTGGCCTTCCCAACTCTTTCCTTCACAAGCCTCAGATCATCCAAAACTCTGCAGCTCGTGTACTCTAACGCACCAGGTTCCGTGACCCCATCACTCCCACCCTCGCCCGACTCCACTGGCTCCCCATCCCCCAAAGGATCGAGTTCAAGATTCTTATCCTCACCTTTAAGGCCATCCATGGCCTTGTCCCCTCCTACCTCTCCGACCTGCTGACTCCCTACCAACCTGCCCGCTCCCTCCGTTCATCAGGCTCCGGCCTGCTCCATGTCTCCCGCCCAACCATCGGTGGCTGGACTTTTAGCCTCTCTGCTCCCACACTGGAACTCCATCCCACAGTCCCTTTGCCTCGCTTCCTCCCTCGCATCCTCCAAGACCGGTCTCAAGACCCTTCTCTTCGACTGTGTCTTTGGTTTCCCTCCCACCTCTCTGCCTTCTCTCACCCTTAGATCACCCCTCCCCCATGCTCGGGCACCGACATCTGACTGTCCAGCACTTTGGGACGTCCTCCCGACGTGAAAGACGCTCTATAAATGTAATTTTGTTGTTGTTGTTGTTGCCTTCGGCCACCCTCCTCCTCTCCCACCCTCTCTGCATTCTACCTTCCCTTATCCCAACACCCCTTCCCACGCTTGGGTCCAAATCCCTGACTGTCCTCCCAACATAAAAGGAGCTATACAAATGTAATTTTGTATTGTATTATATTGCATATCCCTTATTAAGCTCTGACCCACCGCTATGTAGACCTGAACCCATCAACCAAATGTAACCAGCCAGTTCAGCAGGAGAATTGGAACTATTTGCTCCAAGTTGCCTGATCAACAGAAAGAAATTGTGCTTTGCCTGAACTTTAGCCCTACATTTGTGGGTATTTAGTCAACTCATTCCTTGTCTATCTCTGGAATTTCCATGTGTAGGCGGGATGCGTGGAATTCTCAGTTTGGTTTGTAGACTCTTCAACATGGTGATGGGTTTCCGCGTATGTCAGACACCCGGCTGTTTAAAGAAAAATTAAATAGCATGAGGAACTTCTTTTTAATTAATATCGCAAATTGTGCGCACTATCTTGTATGTTTTCAATGAAGAAATTACGCCAGTTTTGCAACTTCCATCACATGTTTTTTTTTAATACACAGATTCAAAGCCTTCAGATTTATTTCAAATTGAATCGAAAACGGGGGTTATTACTGTGAAAAAAGTGTTTGACAGAGAGAGCATCTCAGACCCGAACTCAGTCATTGAACTGCATATTGTAGTAAGTAGTAAGGAATCCTGTGGTGTAGTGATTGGAGCCCTCGCCTCATGAGTGAGAAGACCCAGGTTCGATTCCCGAGCGGGAATCTTAGGCAAGTTTGCTTACTCCACGCCTCTGTTTACCTAGTAGTAAGTATGAACCTGGATGTAAGTTGATTGATGGATTGCTCTCTGGGGGGTAATAATCCCTCCCCACACCCACCAAAAAAAAATGTTCAACATGGGACATTCAATCCACAACTGTTTGTGGGATACTGCTGTGTGCAAATGACTGCAGCATTTTGCCCACAAAATATATGGTCAGTTCGCTTTGCAGTATATTCTATGAAGTGCATTGAGGCGTCTCACCGACGTGATAAGGTCCTGTATCAAGTTCAAAGATTATTATTAATACGATACATGCACATAACTGAGAGTGAACCTGGTTCTCCCCTCAGGCCACGGAAAAGAATCTTAATTCCGTTGGGCAAACATCCTCAGCGAACACCGTTATAGCCATCACAGTGTCCGATGTTAATGACAACATTCCCGAATTTTACGACTGTGGAACGTGTGAGAGTCTTGAAGGATTGAAAGTGATGTCCTTCAGCGCTGATCTGCCTGAAGATTATACCATGGGGGTGGCCATCGAGGGGTTAAATATAGCCGTTCGTGACCCTGATCAGGTGAGTCCGTCCTTCCCGGAGCGGCTTTCACATCTCTGTCAACCAGCGTGTGACCCTAATGCTTACCATCTGCTCAGCGGGCTCTGGCCTGTTCTACGACCCACTCCACAATTGGCGGTCGGGCCTTCAACCTCTCTGCCCCCAACCTCTGGAACTCCATCCCACAGTCCCTCCGCCTCGCTCCCTCTCTTGCCTCCTTCAAGGCAGGTCTCAAGACCCTCCAATTTGACCACGCCTTCGGTCACCCTCCTACCCTATCCCTTGTCCTCCACCCCAAATGATAATTTGGTCACTCAATCCACAGCCGTTTGTGGGACGTTGCTGTGTGCAATTGGCTGCTGCGTTTCACCCTCAAAATAATAATAATAAACCTTGCATTTGACATAGCGCCATTTCACATCGTTGAGTCGTCCCAAAGCGCTTCACAGAGCATATTGTAAAGTGAATTGACTGTGTATATTGGGCGAAATGCAACAGTATACAGTCAATTCACTTTGCAGTATATTCTGTGAAGGTCTTTGAGACGTCCGGAAGACGTAATAAGGAGCAATATCAAAATGCAAGGATTATTATTATTATTAATATTATTATTATTACCCTTCCCTGATCCCAACGCCCAGCTCGGGTGCAAACTCTTGACCATCCAGCATCTTGGGACGTCCTCCCAATATGAAAGGCAGGTGCTGCGTGAATGTAATTTGTTGTTGTTTAAACACAGGGCACCAATGGAACTTTCTTCCTGAACCTGACAGGCGACATAGCGTCCGCGTTTCAGGTTTCCCCACATGAGATACTGAACAATGGATTCGTTCAGATCCTTGTGAACAATCGGGAGGCCATTGACTATGAGACGATCAAGACGGTGGAGATTCAGGTAACGGCTGCTGTATTTGGGTACCTGGGAACCTGAGCACTTTCTTTTACCCCAATGTGAATGAACACTCACTGTCATTTAGCTTAATTAACAATACTCCCATGCCCCACGCACATTAGGCCTTCAGCCTCTCTGCCCACACCTTTGGAACTGCATCCCACAGTTTTTTCGCCTTGCATCCTCCTTTGCCTCCTTCAAGACTCTACTCTTCAATCGCGCCTTCGGACACCCTCTTACCCCTAACCTCCCTGCCCTCTACCCCTCCTGATCCCAACCCACTGCTCGGGTCCAGTGTGTTGGGATGTCCTCCTGATGTGAAAGGCGCTTTACAAATGCAATTTGTTGTCATAGTGTATCGGTTAGAGAACCCCCCCTCATGATTGAGAGGACCTGGGCTCGATTCCCGGGCAGAGCGAAACAATAGGCAAGTTTTCTTACTCCACACAAGTACTGTTTACCTAGCAGTAAGTAGGAACCCGGTTGCTTGGCCGATCATTTTTCCGGGCTAATAATTCCTTCAAAATAAATAAATAATATTAATTTGGTCACTCAGGAAAGAAAAAAAATGCCAGATTTTCTGCTGAAGAAAAAAGGGCAGATTATGACGCCAACATTGACTGTTTGGTGAACTGTACATGGCTTCTGTTAACCTACAGGCAAAGCCCTCATGGGTTGCATTGGGTGGTTCGACCAGCAGTGGGGAGCTTGCCGGACGGTGTTCTCAATGGCATTAGAATGTTGGGATAACAACAACTAGTCTTTATATAGCGCCCCTCACTCAGGCTTGAGTCCCAGAGCTCCTCAGACTTCTTGACAGTGGTGGAGCTCGATGTTGAGCCAGGGAACAGGGAGGAGAGGAAGGTCTTTAGACCCGACCTGAAAATAGGGAAGGAGGGGGCAAGATGGAGGGATAGAGCGAGAGTGTTCGAGGGTTTTGGGCATAGTGGCTGAAAGCGCGGCCACCGATGGTGGAATGGGTGGGTTAGGTAAGGTTTGGAGCTGTCTTGCTGCCCCGCAACCAAAACAAAAATGTGACTTTTGGTTGAAATTCTTTGACAGATTGTCGCGATTGAGAAAAACAACCCTACCGCCTGCTGCTCTAATGCTACCATCACGTTCAACATTCAGGACGTCAATGATAACAGCCCGGAGTTTGACAAAGACGGGTTTACTTTTCATGTGAATGAACACCCTGACGTTGGGACTACGGTTGGAACAATTACAGTAAGTAACAGTGTGTCAAGTTCTCTTTACGGTTAAAGCAGGAACAATCCATTTGTTGGGTGTCCCGTAGTGAGTTGGTTAACGTGCTTGGCTCGTAAGTGAGAGAATCCAGGTTTGGTACCCGGGTGGGACAAAACTTTAGGCAAGTCTCCTTACTCCACATGCCTGTTTACCTAGCAGTAAGTAAGAACCTGGTTGTTAGTCGATTGGCAGATTGCTTTCTGAGAGTAATAATCTCACCCCACCCCCCCAAAGGAATTTAGTCACTCAATGCACGACTTTTTATGGGACACTGCTGTGCACAACGTCTCAAAGCGTTTCACAGAATGTATTGTAAAGTGTGTATTTCGTGGGACAAATGGGGCAGCCAATTATGCACAGCAGTTGTGGATAAATTGTCAGAATATGACCCAAACCTTGAACAACGCAGGTGTTAATTGTTGCGTTCCTCTCTACCATTGCCTTGTTAAACTTTCATCTTAAAACTCTTGTTCCGCAGGCAAGTGACCGTGACAGTGGCAGCTTTGCTGAGATTACGTACAAGTTGTTACCAGAGAGTATGTAAGTACTATTACTGACCAGAGACTTTTATAACTGGGTATAACTCTCAATGAGTTTGTTACGTCACTGAGTCTGAACAACACTTGGTAAATGTCGCAGTGTGACTTCTGGTAAACCCGAGCAAGTTAAATGTTGGGTTAAACCTATGATAATGGAGTTATATAGCATATTGGTTAGAGCACTCGCCTCACAAGCGAGAGGACTCAGGTTTCATTCCCGGGCGGAGCGAAATCTTACGCAAGTTTTTCTTACTCCACACGCATCTGTTTACCTAGCAGTAAATAGGAACCCAGTTGTTAGTCGATTGGCGATCGCTTTCCATGGGTAATAATCCCTTAAAAAACATTGGTCACTCAATCCACAACTGTTTGTGGAACACTGTGTGCAATTGGCTGCTGCGTTTCGCGCACAAAATACACAGTCAATCCACTTTCCATTTTTCACTGCCACTTTACACTGTATTCTGTGAAAAATTTGAGATGTCTCGATGATGCGATGAGGCGCTATATCAAAAGCAAGGATTATTATTATTATTAAAGGCAGGATAGCCATTTCTACAACAGCCCATGTTCAGGGGTATCCAAACATACAGATTCTCCTGTGACACCATTGAGACATCTCAAAATTACAGTGTAAATATACAGTGTAAAGTGGATTGATTGTATTTTGTGGGCGAAACGCGGCAGCCAATCGCGCACAGCAGCGTTCCACAGACAGTGATGGATTGAGTGACCAATTTTTTTTAAGGGATTATTACACCTGGAAAACAAAGTATTTATTTATCATTAATGCTTGTCCAACTTTGCCCAAATTCCGCCAATTGTAGAAGTTCCATCCAAGTGGATCCCTGAACACTAACGTACAATGTCGCTGCCTTATGTTTGAACAGAACTGAGTTCAAAATTGACAATAAAACTGGGGTGATTACTGCCGAGAAAAAAACCGAGCTGGACCGAGAGAAACGCTCTATGTATTATTTGACGGTTCAGGCAATGGATGGTGGGGGCCGGGTTACCACCACGGAGATTCAGATTACTCTGGACGATATCAATGACAACCCTCCACAGATCCCAAGGGAATCCTACACTGAATTCGTCACCGAGGGAAACAAGTTTGAGATTCAGATTGTGGTACGAAGAGATGCCTTGCGCAATTAACAAAATACATGGCAGACGAGAGAGAGAGAGAGAGAGAGAGAGAATGAGGGGGAGTGTGTCTGTGTGCATGTGAGAGAGCGAGCGAGAGAAACAGAAGGAGAATGGGGATGGAATGAGAAAGAGTGAGTTTAAGAAAGAGAGAGCTGTGAGAAAATGAGTGAGTGACAGGATGAGAGAGGGAACGTGTGTGTGTGAGCGAGAGAGAGAGAGGATGGAGGCATTTGATGGGATGTGTTGAGGGGAATCCGTCAGTAGGATTGTGAAGATGTCTGAGTGAGTGTATCGCTGAGTATGACAGCCGACAGCAGAGGAAAAATGAAAGTGCGGAAAGAATATAATCATCACTGCTGACTTTTCCCACCAAGGCTTTTGACGACGATGAAGAAGGCACAGACAACAGTAAGATCGTCTTTGCCATCACAGCTGGGGACCCCCAACATAATTTTACCATCGATGCTGATGGCATCCTGCGGTCAGCAGTTGCTATAGACCGAGAGGCCTTGAGCTCCTCAGAAGGAAAAATCGTTCTGATTGTGACAGCGTCTGATTTAGGAACCCCGCCCCAGTCCTCCACTGTGAACGTCTCCATCCTTGTAGAGGTGAGCAAGCGAGAGGTCCCAGGTTCGATTCCCTGGCAGGGTAAAATTTCCTTACTTCACACTCCACTGTTTAGCCGGCAGTAAGTAGGAACCCACAAAATATACAGTCAATTCACTTCACAGTGTATCCTGTGAAGCGCTTTGAGATCTTGATCGAGATGAGATAAGGCGTTTTATCACATGCTAGGATTAATATTATTATTATTATTATAACCCGGCTGTTAGTCGATTGGCGGATCGCTTTCCGGGGGTAATAATCCCTCCATTAAAAAAAAACGCGGTCACTCCAGCCACGATTGTTTGTGGGACGCTGCTGTGCGCAACTGGCTGCCGTGTTTCGCCCACAAAATACACAGTCAATCCACTTTACACGATATTCTGTGAAGGGCTGTGAGACATATCGCGATAATGCCCTATATCAAATGCAAGGGTTATTATTATTTATTATAAGGAAGCAAGGTTACATTGTGATATCTGAGCTTTTGTTTCTAAAACAGGATATAAACGACCACGGACCTGTGTTTGGGAAACAGGAATACAGCGCCTGTGTCATGGAAAGCACAAAGGGTAAGTTACAGACCTGGGGTTGAGAATGACCTCCACTGGGTTTTACGACGGCTCAAAGCCTCATACTACATCATTGGTAAATGTCACCAATAAAATACACGCTCTCACACTACACGTGGAAAAATGTTGTGAAGTGCCTCGAGATGTTTGAAAATAATAATCCCTGCATTTCATATAGCGCCTTATCACGTTGACCGTGTACTGACTGTGTATTTTGTGGCCGCTACACGGCAGCCGATTGCACACTGTGACAAGGCGCTGTATCGAACGCAAGTGTTAGTATTTATTATTGAACTAACGTGGTTTATCTCTTATATTTAGAGACGGGAAAAGAATCAAGTGCAAATTTCTAACCAAAGTAGTGTCAGTGAGCAACTGTGAGGAGGATTCGCTTTATTCTTAAACTCGTTCAGGGAGATGTTTCTCTTGCAAAATCCGTGTTAATAGGAATGATAATAATAATCCTCGATACAGCGTCTCATCGCATCATTGTGACGGCTCAAAGCGCTTTACAAAATATATTATAAAGTGGATTGACTGTATATTGTGTATAATAATAATAATAATCCTTGCATTTGATATAGCGCTTTTCACGTCGGGAGGACGTCCCAAAGCGCTTCACAGAACACACTGTAAAGTGAATTGACTGTATATTTGTGGGCGAACGCGGCAGCCAATTGCGCACAGCAATGTCCCACAAACAGTCGTTGATTGAAAATGACCAATTTATTATTGTTTTTGGTTTTGGAGGGATTATTATTAGGCTCTGTGTGGAGTAAGGAAACTTGCCCAAGGTTTCGCCCTCTGCCTGGAATTGAACTCAGGTCTCTCACTTGCAAAGCGAGTGCTCTAACCACTGAGCAACAGGACTCCACAATGACTGCAGTTTGCATTAAAGTTTAACAGAAGTGACAAATTAATAATAATAATAATCCTTGCCTTTAATATAGCGCCTTATCAAGTCTTCGAGAGGTCTCAAACGCTTCGCAGAATATACCGCCAAGTGAATTGACTGTATATTTTGTGGACGAAACGTGGTAGACAATTGCGCACAGCAGCGTCCCGCAAACAGTCGTGGCTTGAGTGACCAAATAATTTTTTTTATCCTCACGTTGTGACTCTCCTTGGCACGCAGGAGCCTTTGTGACACTCGTTGACGCCTTCGACAATGACGCAACAGAAATCTACAACCGGATAATCTACCGCATTGAAACAGGCATTGCGGGCACCTTCCTGATCAGGACGGAGGCAAAAGACGATACGGGGACGTACGAGGGGAATATAATGGTTGATCCGGAAGCTATCCTTGACTACGACAAAGGCCCGAAGTTCCACACGCTGGTGATTAGTGCCTCGGATCTGGGGAATCCACCGAAATTGGCGACCGCTACCGTCCTTGTGACGGTGCTGGATATGAACGACGAGACACCCACGTTCGATGCCGCCACCATGAAGGACCTCGACGTGCCGGAGAACGGCACTGCGGTGGGGGCGGTGAGGGACATCATCGCGAAGGACTTGGACACCAATCATTCGCTGATCTACCAGCTGGTCTCCGTGACCTGCTGGAAAGATAACAAGCTCGACTCACAGCCCAATGCATCGTGCCATGACTGGTTCGAGCTTCACCAGAACGGCTCTGTCTTCGTGCCTGAGGCTTCGGTGATCGATTACGAGGAGTACGATCGGGTGATTGTCACAGTTAACGCGACCGACCTGGACACCCAACAGAATGAGGCCTCCGTTATCGGTACATCCCATGTTTAATGTGCCGTTGGGTTGTTGGTAGCTTGGCTTGTTTTCTGGCATTTACATCAGTCTTTTCCCTCCCGAGTCAAGAGGTTGTGGGTCAAGTCCCCACTATGTCAGGGACTTTGAGCTCACTGTGTAGGATGGGGTAGAGAGAGAGAGAGAGAGCAGCGCATTGACAGAGAGATATCTAGGGAATTTCCACGTTTGGGTGGGATGGCTTGATGCAAGTCTTGGTGGATTGGATACACTTAAGCATAGTAATGGGTGTCCACGTGTCAGACACGCGGCTGACCAAAACCAAAAAACAACAAAAATATGTTCAATCCGTGCCCTGTTCGAGTGGTTTTACAGTGGGAGGAAAGTTGGGGGGAGAGAGAAGATTCATTGCCTCTGCTTGGTGCCATCCTGACATCAGGTACCGAAATGTGTGTGTATGTGCGTGTGCCTGTGTGTGCATGTGCCTGTCTATTTGTGTGTGTGTGTGCGTGTGCGCCTGTGTGTGTGTGTGCCTGTGTACGAGTGCCTGTGTGTGTGTGTCTGTATGTGTGTGCTAATGTGTGCATGTGCCTGTGTGTGTGTGCATGTGCCTGTGTGTGTGCATGTGCCTGTGTGTGTGTGCATGTGCCTGTGTGTGTGTGTGTGTGTGTGTGTGTGCATGTGCCTGTGTGTGTGTGTGCGTGTGCCTGTGTGTGCGTGTGCCTGTGTGTGTGTGCATGTGCCTGTGTGTGTGTGCGTGTGTGTGCGCTTACTCTCACCCTCCACCAGCGCCCGTTTGTTTATAAACACATGGATTCTGGTGATTTCTAGTTGCCTCTGTAAACAAGTGTGAGTTCAGCAGTCGTGGGCTTTGATGATTAATGAAGGCCTCTGTTTAATTCGCCAACAGGTGAACTTACCATCAACATAGTGGACATGAACGATCACGCACCTGTGTTCACCGCCTTCGAGAGAGCGAGCGGTACGTCTGGCGCTCTCTGCGATTAGCGCCCGCGCAGCTCAGTCAGGCCAAGGTACTAATGGCACCAACGGCGCCAGGGTTTGGTGAAGCCCAAACGTTTAACAGGAGCCTCTTTTACTCTCCGAGGCCAGAGTCGTTTCCCAATAATAATCCATCCAAAAAAAAAGAAGAATAATTTGGTCACTCAATCCACGACTGTTTGTGGGACACTGATGTGCGCAATTGGCTGCCGTGTTTCGCCCACACAATATACAGTCATTTCGCTTGATGGTATATTCTGTGAAGCGCTTTGAGACGTGTCGACAATGTGTTTAGGCGCTATATCAAATGCGAGGATTATTATTATTGTTATTGTTTATATTCTCTGCTTTTAGTGATCGTGCCGGAATTAGCGCCGATTTCTGCCGCTGTTGCGACAGTCAAGGTATGTCAGCGGCACTGTAAATACGTGTATAATGCCTCAGGGCTCTCAGTATAGCCAGGACGGGCTGGCTCTCTCGCTCGCCGAGGTTTATCTGGACAAGGTGCCCGAGCACTGAGTGAGACCGAGGGATCACAATGATGACTACACAGCAGTGATAAAGAACTAATTTCCTTTGAAGAAAGTGAAGGGGAGAATCAGGGAGCTCAGCCGATCGCTCGCTCACAGTCAGGGTGACGGGAGTGTGACGCTTCTCTCCACAGGCCACTGATGGGGACGTGGGAAAAAATCAGGACATTTCTTTCTTCGTCACCAACATTCTCTTTGTCTTCACGGATGGCAAGCCCAACAGAACGCTACCGGACCTGTTTGAGGCTTCCACAGCAAGCAAAACCAACAACGAGTACATCTCCTCAATCAAGTACAGTATATTTCACACCAAACGCTCGGTTTAACCACAGCAACAACTTGCACTTGTACAGCGCCCTCCACACAGGGTAGCATCTCAGAGCGCTTAGCAGTGACGGAGACTGACTCCGAGCCGGGGCGGTGGGTGGAAGAAGGTGACCGCATGCACGTGTTGAAAAGGAAGGTTTTCAGGTGGGACTTGAAAAAGGGGGGAGGGAGGGGGCAAGGCAGAGGGATTGAGGGAGAGCGTTCCAGAGTTTTGGGGCGCAGTGCACAACCTCCAAATGATGGAGCGGAGGGTGTGAGGGACAAGTGTGAAGCGATCGAGTGCTGGTAGACCGGGGCGTGGGGTTGGGATGAGTGGGGGGGGTGGGGGGTGGGGGGGGTGGGGGGTGGGGGGGGTGGGGGGGGGCAATGGCAGCTGATCAATCAAATCCCGAGAGAGAAATTTAACCCGGGTCTAGACTTAACTCCGTCAATGTCACGTGTTTCAGCGAATCTACGATCTGGCACTTTGCTGACTTCAGTCTCTTTAACTTTGAAGTCGTTTTTCTTGAATTCTTGAAAGAAACTTAAAAAGAACAGAATAAATCTCTATCTGTGTGGAATTTCTCTCGCGCCCCCCCCCCACACACACACACCCCCTCCGGCTTGTTGGAAGCTCCCTTAAAGTCGGAGCAACTTAAAACATGTGAATAAAGTGATGCTCAACTGCTCTGTTGTTCTGTAGAATTAAATCGTCACTGGATAAGACGCTGAAAGGACAGTACAGGCTAACGATAGAGGCAAGGGATCAAGGTGACCCTATTCTAACGACAACGAGCTACCTTGATGTGAGTATCTTACACGTTGTTACATTTATTATTAATAATAAGAATAATGACATTTATTTAGGATATCAATAGGGATCCTGTTTCCTATCCGGTCATTTTAAGGAATGGCCACGATTTAGACCCAAATCTGATTGAAATAACCGAATAGAAGTCATTCAATTATACCCATGTTACGGCCAAAACATAATTCGGTCACTGATTCCATGACTGTTTGTAGGACACTGCTGTGTGCAATTGACTACTGGGTTTCGCCCATAAAATACACAGTCACTCCACTTTACAGTATATTCTGTGAAGCACTTTGAGACGTCCCAACGAGGTGATAAGGCGCTATATCAAATGCAAGGGTTCTTATTATTTTGTCTCCCTTTACAGTTAATTACAATCGATGAGAGCTTCAAGGTCCGGCTTGAATTCAGAGTGCCACCTGAGGAGGTTCAGGCAAACCAGGACCAGATAACCAAGTGTGTGATTCTCAAACCTTTTCTGGCAGTACATAGTAATCTCTTGTAATTGCAGACCTTCAAGTGTGAACTTTCTCTTTTAAAGCCCTCCAGGGTCGTGCTCCTCCCTACCTCTGTGATCTCTTACTACAATACCAACTTGTTCGCTCCCTCCGCTCGGTGGGCACTGACCTGCTTCATGTCTCCCGCACTGTCTGCCCACCATTGGCGCACCGCCCTTCAGCTTTTCTGCTTCCACCCTCTGGAACTCCATCCCTGATTCCCTCCACCTCATCCCCTCCCTCCCCTCCTTTATGGCCCCTCTCAAGACCTTTCTCTTTGGCCATGCCTCTGGCCACACGCCCACCCTCACTCTCCCTACTCTCCACCCACTCTTCATTCCAACCTCCAGCTCAGGTGCAAACCCTTAACCGTCTAGTACCTTGGGATGTCCTTCTGACACAAAAGGCGCTGCGTAAATAATTTGTTGCTGTGGTTGATTCTCTTGACAGGGTCCTGATGGAAGCTACCCTTTCAAATCCACACGTGGTGGGAGTCACATCTAACACCAATACCAGAGATCGGGCAATAGCCAGGTAGGCGCGCACATACACACACACACACACACACACACATACAGCCTCACACTATTTCAGCAGCAGAGAGTGGATAAGGAACGGATAAGTCTAACAGGTAAATAGGAGGTTAGGGGTCATCGGACCCAGCTCATTCAAGAGGTGAAACAACACTGAGATCAACATTCACTCCACTTCCTAAAGTTTCACAATCTCTGAGAACAAATCGATAGCCAACTACCTTCTTGTAATAGTTTGTGTTTACTGGCATGTGTCAACTTCTGTCAAATCGCCGTGTTAAAAACCTTTAATATTTACTCAATAAATTTCCCAGTTTGGTTTCGATACTCTTAAGCTCGGTGATGGGTTTTCAGGTGTGTCTGACTGACCCCTCAAAAAAGCAAGGTTTATGACCGAGTTGGTCTGCTGGTCTGAAACTTGTTTTAAATTCTTATTTAGTTGAAGACTTTAACGAAGCTCTATCTGATGATGATTGAATGCTTATATGCACACTTCTCTTACAGGAACGAAGTCAAATCCACAATGGAAGTTTACTTTGTGTACAACAATGGGACAGCTATCCGCCCAGATAGCGTCAACACGTACGTCCTCATTTCATACAAATAATAATAATTTGGTCACTCAATCCATGACTGTTTGGGGGATGCTGCTGTGCGCAATTGGCTGCCGAGTTTCGCCCATAAATATACAGTCATTCACTTTCGAGTATATTCTGTGAAGCGCTTTGAGATGTCTACAAGATGTGATAAGTTGCTATATCAAAGGCAAGGATTATTATTAATTTGTTGCTTCTGTTGAATTTTAATGCAAACTACAGTCAATATACAAATATACAGTCAATCCACTTTATAATATTCTGTGAAGCGATTTGAGCCGTCACAATGACGTGATGAGGCGCTATGTCAAATGCAAGGATTATTATTATCGTTACAGCACTAACTTACGAGGCAAAAGTTACAGCCTATCTTCAATGGTGACATTCAACTGCAAAAGAAATATTCAGTAATATTGGCAAATATTGATTCTAATCTCCATCAAATGGGCATTGCTGTGGTGGGGAATGTTTGCTTTTTCTAAATTTGGGGAAAACTTTTCTATAGAAAACTCTTCTACACAGGCTTTAGTTGCCTATTCTTGCGAGGAGACATCCTGCCTCAGTGGTAGCTCTGAGGCAGTGAGGGTGTGGGAGGGGGTTGAGTGGGGGGTTTAAGCCTTGTGTTGGTGATGGGACTATACGGAGCTGCATTGGTTTCTGCAATGGCGACAGTCACACAATCCATGACATTTCCTTCACAGCATTTTGGACATGAACCCGGATGCAGTCCTGAAACTGATAGACCTGGGTCTTTTGAACATTGTAAGTAAAGATGTGGAGTTAACGCAGGGACGAGCGGTTAATAATAAAGCGCTGGGTGTTTGGTCAAAGCTTAGAAACGTTACACTTAATGTTTTTGATACCTCGGAGTTCAGTGCACCACATGGAGTATGTGTTTGCTCCCCATGTCTGTGCTGAATCGTCTACAAATCCCTTTATGCCCTGGCACCTCACTACCTTTCTCATCTCCTTTCTCCCCACTCCACAACTGGCTGCCTCCTCCTGGCTGGCTCTGGCCTCCTGTTTGTCTCTTTTCCCCTACGTTCCACCATCGGCGGCCGTACTTTCAGCTACTACGCCCTGAAGCTTTGGAACACTCTTCCTCAATCCTTCCACCTTGCCCCCTCCATCTCCTCTTTTAGATCACGACTGAAGACTTTCCTCTTCGAATGTCAGCAGGGATAGAAATTACCTCAAGCGATCCCAAGTGAAGGAGACAGGGGAAATTGAGCCGGGTTTCCCACCTTTGATCGTGATTTGGTAATCTCTCCCTCGCTGGCTCTGGGGGGTAGGGAGAGGAGGTGGGGGGAGAAGCCTGGTAATGTCTCCCTGACACAAGACTGATGTGTTTCCACATTACAATGAGTTGTTGCGGGGCAGACTGTGTGGGTGCTGCAAGTTGTTGTTGTTGTTGTTGTGGAAAACAAATGCCTCTGATTATTTTATTCCTCGTTCCTTCTCAGAAAAAGCCAATAGAACCCCCGAATAGCGAGGGCCCATTGCTGGTTGTGATTGGTGGACTGGTTGGAGCTTTGGTGCTTTTATTATGCATCATGATAACAGCTCTGGTTTGCAGCCGTAAAAGGTAAATGAGCTGGAATTCTCACTGACTCTCTTCTGGGTTCCCGGCTGATAATCCCCCAGGTGGGATCGGACATTCACTTCACATTTGCTGGCCTCAAAACGGCTGCTGCGTTGTTCTCCAAACACACAGTCACTATACTTTACAGAACACCCTGTTTCTGTGCCTACTGGGGGATGGGGGTGTTGGGGGGTGGGGAATTGTCAGACTATATGTAGCCAGATTGCCGTGGGGCGATTGAAAAGGACATAATGAAGATGTGGATCTTAAATGTTCACTTCCGATTTCACAGCTACAAGAGGAAAATCAAATCAGTGACAGCCATGAACACAGCTCGGTCCATCCCAGTGCAGTCCGGCCCGGCTGTGCCTGGGACAAACAAGTATATGTTGGACGGGTGAGTTACGGTTTCCAGAAAGCCACGCTTATATTTTAATGGCTCGCATCTTCTGAGTGCCCTGTTAACAGCGGATTGTACTTAATGGCACTTGATTGCACTTCCAGCGGTGTGATGAGATGAGCACGATTCTCTCTTCTCCCCCCCACCCCCGCATTCCTCCCCCTCTCCATGCCACAGAATATTTATCACTCTCAATTCTTTTGTCGCTCTTGTCAAAATCGCCCTTTCGCGTCAAAGCGAAATCCACTCAGCTGTTTGGTGCTGTGTTTGACCTGTGCTGGTTTTGTCTCTCGCCCTTGCAGAGCCAACCCGGTGTGGAACACGACCATCGACACCTCCGACCACGGCTTTGATGAAGAGACTTCGGACCGTGCCAGGTAACAGCAAAATAACAACATAAGAATTTGCTAAACGAAAGAAGACCAAGGTCCATCCAGTTCGCCTTCCATCATCCTGGCAGTCGAGTGCCAAACTATATACTGTTTCTATATACAGTTTATATATAAACTATATATTTGGGTTCCAAACTATATACGGTTTCCCAGATCTTATTTCCCAACAGCAATCTGTCCAATTTGTTCTTGAAAGTATCAACACTTTGTGATTCCACCTTTTCCCTCGTCTGGTGTTTGGGGAAGATGTAGGGAGGGGGAGAGCTTAGAGGTAGGGACAGGAGAGAAGGTAGAGGGAAAAATGACCTTTGAACCAATAAAAGGGAGTGGGGGAGGGTAATTCAAAGTGATTATGTGAAGTACTCAAGAAGACTTGAAATTCTACCTAACCTTAGCCTGTAAGACTGTTTTATCTTGAAACTTAAGATAACGGTGGAACGGACTTTGTAATCGGTTATTGGTGACTGGCATCATAGCGAACAAAACCAGCCTCAGCTATTATTTTTAGGAACAGGAGGAGGTCATTCAGGCCTTTGAGCCTGTTACATCGACTCCAATTTTGTGTGTGCCTTTAGCGAACGTTACTGAGCAGGTCCGTTCTTGCTTTTCTCACAGTGTGAATTCTTTGGATGAAAACGTGGTGGATATAATGGGGCAAGATGGTCGTAGGATGGCGGAGATACCTGAGGTAGGTTTGCACATCACCAGGGCAAGGGAGGATGTGATTCCCTCAAGCTATTCACCATCAAAGCCCTCCACGGCTTGCTCCTCCCTGTCTGCTCCCTCCGCTCAGCGGGCTCTGGCCTGCTTCACATCCCCGCCTTGCCCATCCCACCATTGGTGATCGGGCCTTCAACGTCTCTGCCCCAACCCTCTGGAACTCCATCCCACGGTCCCTCCGCCTCGCCCCTTCCTTTGCCAACTTCAAGACCCATCTCAAGACCCTCCTCTTCGACCATGCCTTTGGTCATCCTCCTACCCCTACCCTTCCCGCCCTCCACCCCTCCTGACCCAACCACCAGCTCGGGTGCGGATTCCTGACTGTCCAGCGCCTTGGGACGTCCTCCTGACGTGAAAGGCACTGTGAAAATGCAATTTCTTGTTATTGTATATCAGTAACTGAGAAAATCTTAGTCTTAATCACTAGTCAAGATTGCAGCAGTTTAGTGCACACCAGGACCTGGTGTCAATGAATCTAACAAAACCTAATTGTCTGCAGTTTCACAGGTTAAAATGTCCCTCGGTTTGAATCTGTGAATTTCCGCTGCCCGGATACTAACCCGCGCAAAACTCTGGACCCGCATCACGCCAGTCCTTGCCAGGCTGCACTAGCTCCCAATGGATCGATTTCAAGATCCTCTCACTCGTTTTAAAATCCCTTCGTGCCCCCACACCTCCCTACCTTATCCCTACCCTGCTTATCCCACACTCCACCAGCCCCTGCCTCCGGTCGGCTGGCTCCGGCCTCCTGTTTGTCCCTCGTCCCCTCCGCTCCACCATCGGCGTCCGTGCTTTCAGCCGTTACACCCCTGGAACTCCCTCCCTCAATCCTTCCGCCTTGCCCCCACCATCCCCACTTTCAAATCCTGCCTAAAGACCTCCCTTTTTGATCGTGCTTGTGATCACCTCCCAACTCCCTCTCCCCCCCCTGACTCGGGGTGAGACTCCGCCACTGGCTATATAAATGCAAGTTGTTGTTGAATTTGCTCTCTTGTGAACAGGTGACTGAAAAGGGCTTCTTGGTGACTGGAGACGAAAAACCGCTGTCCAGCCCATCGGATAAATCCAAGATACAGTTTACGTTCGACAATCCTACTTTACAGACCAGTGTCCTCTGAGCACCTTCCCTCCGCCACATTCACATCAATAATCTTCACTGCCAGAAAGTCTGTGTTTCCGTACTTGGGAGAGAGAGAGCGAGAGAGTGTCGCCAATCTGCTGTGCTTATGTGTTATATTTTTTAACCAACAAAAGGTTGATTTTACCGTGCAGCAGGTTTGGTAGTGATGAAACTTTTAAAATGATTGCTCTACATGTTGCCTCATAATAATATTATTAATAATACATTAAATTGATAGTAGTAGTAATAATATTAGATAATGATAAATCATTCTCCATTTCATTCAATTCTGTTTCATTGCACTCCAGGAGAGATCAGTGAAAACTGAAATTCATCTTAATGAACAGTCAAAAGCTTTTTTTTATTAAAAACTATAAAGGACTGTACTCCCTGGGAGCCTGTTTGTAACAACGAGATAGCTGCTGATGTGATTCTGCCGCCAGCAATCTCCATGTTTTGTAAGCCGCTTAGTGAACCTTTTAGCAGAAAGTTATTTTTATTGTCGCAATTTGAGTAAAAGTCCCTGAACGTGATTTCACGCCTCGATTAAACATTTTTAATTGCATTGTTGACAAACTGTGTTTGTGGCATTGGCGGATGAGCTTTCAATCATTCAGCCCTCCACTCTCTGGAGCTCCATTCATCTCAGAGCCTCCTCCCCAAACTCCTTCCGCCTCTTCTCCCCCAACCCCTTCCCCACCCTCTCTCCCTGGCCTCACGCTCCTCTTCAACCTCGCTTTCAGCCATCTCTGTGTTTGAAAGCACATCTACTTGAGTGTTATTTAATGTAGTTGATTTTTTCTCATATTATATACTTATATATAAGCACGGTTAGTCAATGCCCTTTAATGCACTGTGTGTTGTATCATCTAAAATANTTTTTTTGCGAACAAAATGAAGTGTGTTTATATAAATAAAATAAATAAATGAGATATTTTGTTATTGAGCCTAATGTAAAAAAATCTATATGTATAATGGAGTATATTTAGATGATTTTTGTCCCAGTTTGATATTTCCGAAGTGATAAGGCGCTATATCAAATGCAAGGATTATTATTATTATATTCTGTATGCCATTGCAAGCAATACACAGCAAATCCAATAAAATCAGTGCTTTTGCTACCTGGCAGATTTTGAAGCTTGTTAATTCCGTTTGGATCGAAACCAGGAAAACATACTCAGTGTTTAGCTTTGATCCGAAGCTGGTTGTGGAGATTTCGGACAAGGAGCAGGTTAAAAGATACGAGTGAACGTAGGAACATAGGAACAGGAGGAGGCCATTCAGCCCATTGAGCCTGTTCCGCCATTCTATTAGATCACGGCTGATCTGTACCTCAACTCCAGTTATCCATTTTTTGCACCATATCCCTTGGTACGCTGACCTAACAAGCATCTATTATAGGATTTGGATATAAAGTTCTATGCAAAGAAGATAAAGGCAACACATCCCCAGCAACAGATGCCTCTAACACTAATTATATAACATCATATCTGCACTGAAATGTTGCTATGCACTTCACACTCTGGTTTATTTTAGGAATCTGTAGTGGTTTGTTCTATGGGCAAGGCTGGCAGCTAATCTGCTGGAACCCACCAGCAGAGCTGGGAGTGTTATCCAACGAGCTTTACTGAGGAGTCTGCACTTCACTAGGATCTTATCTGAGCAGTTTGGGGGTCTTCTGGTCGTGGGTTGAGTTTGTGCTGCAGAACCAGCCACCTGTGTGACCATTAGCCTATAATAATAATGATAGTAATATAATAATCCTTGCATTTGATGTAGAGCCTTATCACGTTGTTGAGACGTCTCAAAGCGCTTCACCGAATACGCTGTAAAGTGAATTGACTGTGTATTTTGTGGGTGAAACGTAGCAGCCAATTGCGCACAGCAGATATCAATGCACAGCTACTACACTGGGCAGCAATTAGCTGTGAGGCACTTTACAATGTCATAGGCTCCATTAAGTGCATCAAGACGCTTCCCACATGAAGGACTCTATACAAACACAAGTTGTGGTTGTTGTTATGAAATACAAAGCGTTCGTCCACAAACACACAGTCACACCGTTTCACGGGAAAATCCTGTGAAACGCTTTGGGATGTCCTCCCGACGTGAAAGGCAAATGTAAATGATTATTATTACAAAGTTTATCCCAGCATTTATTTAATCTGGTGGCATTGCTGTGCGCAATTGGCTGCCGCGTTCGCCCACAAATATACAGTCAATTCACTTTACAGTGTGTTCTGTGAAGCGCTTTGGGACGTCCTCCCGACGTGAAAAGCGCTATATCAAATGCAAGGATTATTATTATTATTATTATTATTTATCCCAGACCAAGCTGTCGAGCTCTGTTCTCACCTAGAGAGGGCAGTACTGTCTGTGCCAAACACACAATACAGTATCTGTGAAAAAAAACAAGTTGGTGATAAAGTCAGAGAGATAGAAAATAACACTTCTGGAGTAAAACGGTCTGTCCCAACTGCACGGTATCAAGTAAAGGAAAACTGTTTAAATCTGTGTTGATGTGATGTATTATGCAGCTCAATGTAATACAAGCTGTCTTCCCTGACCTGACTACAGCAACACAGATGGGATCTGGTTTGATCCACTGATATCAGTTTTCAGAAGCAACAATGCAGAGCGAAGCCCTCAATGACTTCCAACATTCCGGCTTAACTGTCTTTCTGGGTCCCAGGAAGGTCCGACCAGCGGCGACAAGAAAATAAATATGTGTTCACTCAATCCACGGCTGTTTGTGGGACACTGCTGTGCGCAATTCGCTGCCGCATTTGGCCCACAGAACACACAGTCAATCCACTTTACAGTATATTCTGCGATGCGTTTTGAGACAGCTTAACGACAGTGATAAGGCGCTACATCAAATGCAAGGATTATTATTATTGCCAAGAGACATTTAAGTATCGCTATTATCAAAAAACATGGGACGATTTGAAAACTGTGGAGTCTTTTTTTTCAGAATGTAATTTTTTTTATAGAAACTGTTTGTGTTTGTGTTACACAATCTGAGCATTTACGATCTGGGTACATGTACAGAATTATTCATGTCCAAATTCACCCACTTTACCAGTGCGGAAGCTGAGCTAACCCAGAGTTACATTAGCCCCACTTCAGCACCAGACAATTGCCGACAATCATTTTACGGCGGCTCATGTTAACCTCCTTTCATCCTCAACCTTTACTAAATCCAAATCTGTGATTGGGCAGCGATTCAATCGCTGGGTCTATTCAGTGTGATGTTCAAGTTATCAAAGGAGATTGAGCACATACTTAAGGAATGACATTACTGCAGTATTAGGTTTTAAATCTGTGGATTTTTGCGTTCATTTGTAACCATTGGGCCACCTTCACTGTAATGTGATTACCTAAACACTGTAACATAATCCCTGCATTTGCATTTGATACAGCGCCTTATCACGTCGTCGAGACGTCTCAAAACGCTTCACAGGACATACTATAAAGTGTAGTGACTGTATTATGTGGGTGAAACGCGGCAGCCAGTTTGTGGACAGCAGTGTCCCATAGACCATCAAACTGTGAACGGCTGATCTTATTTGGAGGATTGTTGGCCAGAAATTCAAACTTAAATGAATCACTAACTTATTATGGGATGTTTTTGATAAATTTTGATAACAATCTTCACTTCATTGCTAATCAATTTTATTTAGGAATGTGCTTGGGGAGACGTTTATCTTTTACATTAAAAATAATGCAAGTTATTACAAGATACTCAATATTGCTGATTGGGTGGAGGAAGAGGTCAGATTCAGGAATATGAGGGACAATTTAGGTCAGACACCGAGAAATATTTCCTTACTGAGAGGGTAATAACTGTGTGGAACAGGGTAATAATCCTTGCATTTGGTATAACGCCTTATCATGTTATTAAGGTGTCTCGCAGAATATATTTGTAAAGTGGATTGAATGTGTAGTTTGTGGGTGAAATGCAGCAGCCACAAGAGTAAATAATAATCCTCTAACACATGCCCATCACTATGCTTAAAAGTATCCAAACTAAAATGAGATTGAATGACCAAATTTTATTTTGAGGGATTATTACACCCAGAAAGCGATCCGCCAATCGACTAACAACAGGGTTCCTACTTACTGCTAGGTAAACAGAGGTGTGTGGAGTAAGGAAACTTGCCTCAGGTCTCACCCTGCCCGGAAATTGAACCCGGGTCCTCTCGCTTGCGATGTGAGCTCGATAACCACTACGCTACAGGACTCCACTGCTCACCAGGAAAGGAGGTTGACGCCAAGACATCGGTTTATTTAAGAAATAGCTGAATGGTGTAATGGAAAGTCTGTGGGATGTTCTGGAAGGATGAGATCATTTGCAACAAAGGACCTTCTTCATCTCAACCTCTTGGGATTTTACAAGTGGCATCTCAATTTCCCCCGGCGATAATTTAACAGAAATCTTACATCGAACTCAAGAAATCTACATTCACCCCTTCAACGCCTTCTCTACTGCTATTCCTGCACTTCCGAAAACAATTTTACAACAAGGATTTATAATGAAGGCCTTTGAGAGATGGGAGACAGAGTTATAATGAGGTGCAACATTAGGAAAGCATTTTATTGGTAAACTACACAAGCTCATATATATATATGTATATATATATGTATGTAATCATCTTCCAACAGCCACATTTCAAGTCATTTCCACAAATCATACATTTGTCAGTTAATAAAATACTAGTTTTTTTTTGAAAAAACACAACTGGCAAGAGAAAAAGTGAAAGTGATTTACATCCTGTGACAGAGGGATAACTAATAATAATAATCCTGAATAATGCTTGCATTTGATATAGCGCCACATCACGTCTTCATGTCATCTCAAAGATCTTCACAGAATATACTTTAAAGCGAATTGACTGCGTATTTTGGGGGCGAAACGCGGCAGCCATTTGCGTACAGCAGTGCCCCACGAACAGTCGTGGATTGAGAATCCGGAGCAGGCATCCAGCCCATCCGGCCAGCGCCACCACAGTCGTTCCATTCTCCACTTTCTACCAGCTTCCCGAATCTCACCTCCATCCCTTCTCCTTTAATACGCTTACTCCCCAAGTCCCTCTGCCTTTCTTAAATCCCTCAGCTGTGCGAGTGTGCGTACACATGTGTATATCCGTACGTGTGTGTGAACATTTCCAATTGGCACTGACTGGCTCACTGAGGTGAACCCGAACAGCCCTCATCATACAACGCTTTCACTAGTTTCACCACTGAACGTTTTGACACGCACCTGCCAATTGGAAGGAAAACAGAAGCTTGCTGCGTCCGAACATTCTGCCTCTGCGACCTAACGAAGTGTAACTGACTACCCCAGAGGACAGGTAATAATAATAATTCTTGCATTTGATATTGTGCCTTATCACATAGGAACAGGAGTAGGCCATTCAGCCCTACGGGCTTGTTCCGCCAGCCTATAAAATCATGGTAATCAAATCCAATTACCCATCCCTGCCTCATAATCCCTTGATACCCTTACCTAACAAAAAATTGTCGTTGAGACTTCTCAAAGTACATCACAAAATAAACTGTAAAGTGGATTGACTGTGTAGTTTCCAAACGAGACAAAGTTACTAGTTCTTGTTGTTGGAACTAATGCTGATAAAAGAAACTGATTCAATCAATAATTTCAGTCCCCGTCAGCGCTTGAGTGGTGTTAAATGATAGTACCGAACACAGGATTCTTTCCATGAAAACCCAAAGATCCAGCACATAAAGTGTGTGCGATGTTTTTTTGGAATAATATGGTCACCGTCTCTCCTACTGAAGCAAATATCAATTATCCCACATTGTCTGTTTATTGTTTGCTTGCATACGCATATACATCTGACCCTGTATCATCTATATTAGCTTTGCCTTTTTGTTTGGAAAACAGAAGACATTGCTAAATATACACACATGGCACAAACCGCTCGATTTATCGATCTGGAATAAAGTTCGCAACATGTAACCAAAATACAGTTTGATGCCTTTCACTGGTATGTTAGTAACACGTGTGATTCAGCTACACAGAGCAAGAAAGTAGAGCTGATCACTGAAAAAATAAATCACCAAGTGTTTTGGCACCATATACACCACAGACGTTGAACAA